CACACACACACACAGGCAGGCAGACAGACAGTCACACACACAGGCAGTCACACAGACAGGCAGTCACACAGACACAGATACACACACACACACACACACACACAGACTTACCTCTTTCCAGTATGGCTGGAAGGGGGAGTGGATGCAGTTGGTTGTTGGGAGAGCAGGGACTCCTTCCTTCTTCCATCTTCCTGTGCAGCAGTTACCAGGGGCTTCGGATAGGTCTTAGCCTCACCTCTGCCACGCGGTAAGCCCCGCCGCTCGTTAAGCTGGCGCGATTTAATATTTTTTTTATTGACCCGGGTGGAGAATAATTAATCCTCCACCCGGTTACCTGTTTTAGCTCCCCTGCACTCCTGTCACCCGGCCATGTGCGAGCTGTGCCGGCCACATGGCGCCACCTGGTCCATGGCGCCCTGTGCGGCCGCACAGCTTGCACACCCCTAAGGCCAGCCCTGCTCCTAACTACAGCCTGCTGCATCAAACCCCATGAGGCAGCTCCTTATTTGTCCACCCGCCCGACAACATAATGTGGCAGTGTGAGGGAACACTGCTATATTAGCCTCAGAATGGCACTTTCAGTGTTCCCTGACTAGAGGGGGTTGAAAATCAGGTTGCTCTAGTACAGGGGTTCTCAACCCAGTCCTCAAGGACCCTCTACCAGTCCAGGATTTAGGGATTACTTGGGTGTATCTAAGGTGTTTAGAATTTTTTTTTTTTAAAACACCTTAGAGTCTAAGGTGTTTTTTTTTTTTCTAAACCCCTGCTCTAGTACATCAATTAGGGAGCTACATAAACCCTATGCAGAGGGAAATCAGTCTCTCCTATGAAGAGCTGGGGCGGAGACAGAGACACTGTGAGTCAAAAAGACTGCTGAATCTGTGTGGAACGTAAAGGTATTTTGCAAACCTTTATTTTCCCTGTCTAGAAGGGGTTAAAAATCAGGTTGCTCTAGGAAAAGCAATTAGGGAGCTACATAAACTCTACGCAGAGGGAAATCAGTCTCTCCTGTAAAGAGCTGAATCTTTGCTGAATCTGTGTGGAAAGTAAAGGTATTTTGCCTTTATTTTTATTTGTTAAACTACTGGGGTCAGCTTAGCTGCCCAGTAGCATAGAAATGGTACTCTATGTTAGCTAGTCTCCAGCGTGGAGTAGGAGTTTATTTTGGTTTCATGTTTTGCTGTGGCTCAATTGGGGCCTGCTTGCTAAATAAAGCTTTCCTCATATTGGAAGAAAGAACATTTTCTGTTATTTATGACCCAAGACCCGGCCAGCCTGCTACAAGTGGTGTGAGAGGTGGGATGTTTGTGTACTGAAAACCTTACCAGTACAGATCCTGAGGAAATATAAAACAATATAGTGTGAAAGTGTTATTGCTGCAATGGAGGACGTATTAACCCCTTAAAACCGGAGGGCGTACTATTACGCCCTATTCTAAGCAGCTCTAAACGCCGCAGGGCGTAATAGTACCCCCTCCGGTTTTTCTTACTTACCCGGTCGCCGGCGATCCCACGCCGGCTATCGCGGTTGGGGAGACTCACCTGGGATCCCAGGGAGTCCCCTGCGGCGGATCCTGCCTCCTCCGGCCCCCCCCCCTGCCATGTGAGAGTGAGGTCCTTGCGAGGACCTCACAATCACATGGCCGGGTTAGCTGGCTGCTGCATTGCCAGCAGGGGGACTGCCTGTAATGACCCCTGCTGGCTGAATTAAAAAAAAATAAAGTTAAAATCAGTGTAAAAAAAAAATATATATATATATATATATATATATATATATATATATATACACACACACACACACACACACACACACACACACACACACACACACTCTAGGTGTATTTTACTATTTATTAATATCAAGTTATACGTAGACTGATACTGATTAAATATATAATTATTGTTATATATATATATATATATAAAATATAAACAAATTTAAATACGTTAAATAATAAAAAAATAATTAAAAATAATTAAAAAATATATACAGGGAGTGCAGAATTATTAGGCAAGTTGTATTTTTGAGGATTAATTTTATTATTGAACAACAACCATGTTCTCAATGAACCCAAAAAACTCATTAATATCAAAGCTGAATATTTTTGGAAGTAGTTTTTAGTTTGTTTTTAGTTATAGCTATGTTAGGGGGATATCTGTGTGTGCAGGTGACTATTACTGTGCATAATTATTAGGCAACTTAACAAAAAACAAATATATACCCATTTCAATTATTTATTATTACCAGTGAAACCAATATAACATCTCAACATTCACAAATATACATTTCTGACATTCAAAAACAAAACAAAAACAAATCAGTGACCAATATAGCCACCTTTCTTTGCAAGGACACTCAAAAGCCTGCCATCCATGGATTCTGTCAGTGTTTTGATCTGTTCACCATCAACATTGCGTGCAGCAGCAACCACAGCCTCCCAGACACTGTTCAGAGAGGTGTACTGTTTTCCCTCCTTGTAAATCTCACATTTGATGATGGACCACAGGTTCTCAATGGGGTTCAGATCAGGTGAACAAGGAGGCCATGTCATTAGATTTTCTTATTTTATACCCTTTCTTGCCAGCCACGCTGTGGAGTACTTGGACGCGTGTGATGGAGCATTGTCCTGCATGAAAATCATGTTTTTCTTGAAGGATGCAGACTTCTTCCTGTACCACTGCTTGAAGAAGGTGTCTTCCAGGAACTGGCAGTAGGACTGGGAGTTGAGCTTGACTCCATCCTCAACCCGAAAAGGCCCCACAAGCTCATCTTTGATGATACCAGCCCAAACCAGTACTCCACCTCCACCTTGCTGGCGTCTGAGTCGGACTGGAGCTCTCTGCCCTTTACCAATCCAGCCACGGGCCCATCCATCTGGCCCATCAAGACTCACTCATTTCATCAGTCCATAAAACCTTCGAAAAATCAGTCTTGAGATATTTCTTGGCCCAGTCTTGACGTTTCAGCTTGTGTGTCTTGTTCAGTGGTGGTCGTCTTTCAGCCTTTCTTACCTTGGCCATGTCTCTGGGTATTGCACACCTTGTGCTTTTGGGCACTCCAGTGATGTTGCAGCTCTGAAATATGGCCAAACTGGTGGCAAGTGGCATCGTGGCAGCTGCACGCTTGACTTTTCTCAGTTCATGGGCAGTTATTTTGCGCCTTGGTTTTCCCACACGCTTCTTGCGACCCTGTTGACTATTTTGAATGAAACGCTTGATTGTTCGATGATCACGCTTCAGAAGCTTTGCAATTTTAAGAGTGCTGCATCCCTCTGCAAGATATCTCACTATTTTTGACTTTTCTGAGCCTGTCAAGTCCTTCTTTTGACCCATTTTGCCAAAGGAAAGGAAGTTGCCTAATAATTATGCACACCTGATATAGGGTGGTGATGTCATTAGACCACACCCCTTCTCATTACAGAGATGCACATCACCTAATATGCTTAATTGGTGGTAGGCTTTCGAGCCTATACAGCTTGGAGTAAGACAACATGCATAAAGAGGATGATGTGGTCAAAATACTCATTTGCCTAATAATTCTGCACTCCCTGTATATATATATATATATATATATATATATATATATATATATATATATATATATATATATATATATACATATAAAACAAAAACGTGAACTTGGCACTCACCCTTTGTAAACTATCGAAATATTCTTGCCTGGGTGCCCACCTCTGGCGTCGATAAATATAAAAAATATAAACAAGGTGCACTCACAGGTCTTCTTAAATGCGTGATAAATTTATTCCAGCGTGCAAATTATTTATGCCACAATTTGATGATGATCAACGTTTCGACCCATAAAGGGTCTTTTTCAAGATCTTGAGACCTGTGAGTGCACCTTGTTTATATTTTTTTATATATATATATATATATATATATATATATATATATATATATATATATATCAAAATACACGTAGAACAAAATAATATATATATATATATTTTTTTTCCAGGTCCTAGCACTCAATGTTCCCGGTCTTTTCCATGCTCCAGTGCAAGTAATCTCTGACCAATATATAGCATCCAAGTAGAGAGCACTCTGGAGTCTTCGTTTTATATCAAAATATTATTTTGATATAAAACGAAGACTCCAGAGTGCTCTCTACTTGGATGATAGATATATATATATACACACACATACATACACACACACAGGGGCGTACCTAGAGCATTTGGCACCCGGGGCGGATCCTGTGCTTGGCACCCCCCAAAAAAAAAAAAAAACCTGTAAAAAGGTGAAGGTTTTCTTTCTTTTTTTTTACAATTTGTAAACTTTGCAAAACCGCTGTCAGCCCCTCCTACAAAACCCTTGTCCTGCCCCGCCCCTCCTACAAAACCTCTGTCCTGCCCCTTCTACAAATCCTGTACTGCCCCGTCTACAAAAACCCCGCAACCCCCTTCCACAAATCCCCTGCTTATCCCCCTTATAAAGACTCCTGTCCCAATACAAAACCCCAGTCCCCTTCTACAAAATCCCTGCAGCCCCACACACACACACATTTACAGGCAGACAGTCACACACTCAGTTACAGACAGACAGTCACACACAGGCAGACAGTCACACATACACATTTCCTCCGTGCGGCCAGTTTATCAGCTGTTTGCTTGTGTGAGCTGTACTGGCCACACGGCACCCTAACTACCATGGGACACTGTGCGGCCACAGCTCACACAGCCCCCTCCAGCCAGGGCCGGTGCAAGGATTTTTGCCGCCCTAGGCAAAAGTAAAGTTTGCCGCCCCCCCATGTGACATCACAATGCCCCACCCATATGATTTGCCATGTAAACTAACGCCAGTGCTGCAGTGCCGCCGTGTTTACATTAAAAGGCCTGCAGGGACAGGCTATAGACACCAGAACCACTACATTAAGCTGAAGTGGTTCTGGGGACTATAGTGTTTCTTTAATGTGAGGTAAATTAGAGCTTAGTGCCACGAATAATATACTAGATTGCCTACTTACAACCAGATGAGGATGATGATGGGCTCTAGCTGCAGTCTGGCTCCACTGGTCTGGTGCAGAACAGGCTCTCTGGAGGCGGTTTGTAACTGTGGTCACAAAAATCAATGTTCTGGGAGAACGGGAAGCTGCACCCGGGCGGTGCGGTCCGCCCTCATGGACGCACCACCTGGGCAAAGCTGCAGCCGCCTGAGGCTCTCTACAGAGCGCTCGGGTGGCTGCAGCATGGGGGGGCCGGCGGCGCTGGTCTTGGCACCCCCCACCCTGCTGGCACCCGGGCGGACCGCCCCCTCCGCCCCCCCCTTAGTACGCCACTGCACACACACACATATACATACACACACCTATATATAAATAACAATATTTAAAAAAAAAAAAAAATATATATATATATATATATATATACATACACACATGCCAC